AAAGGGAAACCCGGTGTAAAATCAACACTCAAACGTTCCCAGAGGAACAGGAAACGGGCAGAAAACGCCAGAAAAACAAAGAAACGACAACAGGAGAATAAAACCCCTGAAAAAAAGGGAAAACTCACCCAAGAAGCTCGCTCGCACACCCAGTCGCATGTAAAGAAACCGCAACGCCGCCCTGGTGGCCACGCCAGGAAACCGGCAGACGAAAATGGCCGCCAGAACAAGAGGGCTGTGACCGACACTAAAGATACGAAAACACGCCAGCAAAAGTGGGAAGCAAGCAGACTGGATGGGCGAAAAACGCCGCCCAAAAGCAGAAAACCCAGGCAGGGGCAAACCGCCCCAGAACTGCTAGCAGGCATCCCCCACAGCTCCGGGAACCAGCAACAGAGGCCCCGGGGCAGAGCCGTCCTCCAAGCCCTCCGCCCTTAAAGAAAAGCAAGAGTCCATGGGAAAGGCAGCAAGAAAGGGCCGCTGGTAAGACCCAGAAGCCTTGGCAGGAGGAACAGGCTCGAAAACCACCTCCGTCCCCCAACCCGAACGGGGCAGCCCCCGAAAACCACCTGAGTCTCGGCCCCAACGAAACCCCACCCCGACACCGAAACCTGCAGACGGTCCACAGCCGGGAACAGGGAGGGAAAGGGGCGAACAACACCTAACCAAAACGGGGCGGCCTCGGGGCATCGAGGGGGAAACCAACCTAGCATGTTGCAGCAACCTAACCTAGCTTGCAACACGGATGCAGCCTGTACTCTGAACAGTAATAACATCAGGAGATTACTGGAGAACAAGCAGAGAATCTCTCTCGCAAGACTCTGGGTCAAGGTGTTAGTGACCCAACAGGCAGCATGACGGAGGTAAAAGTGGCGACTGTCACCTGGAGACAAGGGCACAGCAACCAACGATCCCGTACAAGACGGGATGGAACCCGGAACACACATTCAATGGTCCACCGAACCTAGACAGGGGTTTTCAGGGCCCGTAGGTTGACTGCTACGGGAAGCCCGGGCAAGGTGTTGCTAAACCGGTTAAGAAACCCCAAAATAACAAGAGGGTAGAGGATAGCACTGAAAACCCCTGAGACATGTACAATCACGGGGGCATAGCAGAGGGCTGCCAAACACTACCAGTGGAACTATAGCCACACTGGGCAGATCCCCACCAGGCAATTGAAAATAAAAACAAAAGAAAAACCCAGCAAAAGCACACCATCTCCAGAGGCAACAGGAACTGGCCGCCGCTTAGGTGGCAGGCTGTGCAACACCTTGACGCCCTAACCAGCACAATACCAATCCCTACCCAGGGCCAAACAAGGGCCCCAAGCCCCAGCTGGCCCTGGCCAGGGTGAGGCAAATGCCGAGCAGCAAGAACCTCTACGGGAATGGTTCCCGAACGCCCCAGGGAAGATAACCCTGTTACGCAAGGGCAGTACTCGCAGGGCGCTTAGGGAAGTCAGCCACTAAGCGCATGCAGCCCCGGCACTGATGAAGTACTCCTGGCCACCACACAACACAACACACGGCAGTGAACGCCACACAAGGCAAACACCGCCTAGGAAACCGAGGCCAGAGAAGCGTCTATCCCGGTTGACTTTAGCTTACGAACTGAAGCTTGGCAGCTGGCGCGGTAGGTCTGGGGCTCCCCCCTCCCCCTCTTGGGGCAGGGAGGGCTGCGCAGACGATCGGCGTGGCAGTAAAGTGTGATGTTTGCTTGTTTCCTTGGGATTGTAGGGAGTTTCTACCTCTCTGTTCGGTTTTTGTTTTAGTTTTTTACCATGTGGGGTTTGTTTTGTCATGCCTACCTTTCTGGGTGCCTGACCCCGGTCGATGGCAGATAAGGAAAACCCCAACCACAAGAGGGTTTTCTAGTGCCATTGCTCCCTGAAACCTCTCTGAAGGGGCCAGGTTTTGGCACTGGTCCCTGGTAGGTCTGAACTCCTTAGTTAATGTCCTGGTCTAATATAACATACATTAGCCCGATAAGCTCCAGGGAGCCGTAGGGGCTCCCCACAGAAAACACTGCTCAGAGAAGTGTTTTTCATATATACTGTACTAAAAGCTAGATTCCTCTTATTAATTTAATAATATTTACTCATAGATGGGATATACAGTACTGTAATATTACAGTTTTAGTGTTTTGTTAAATTTTCTGTATATATGCCTATCATGATGTGGTCCGGTTGTCAATCAAACATCTTTTGATGCACTGAAATGCTGTTTCCTGCAACCATTTTTCCACCCAGGCATGAATACTTCCACTGCATCTCATTTCCTTGTGAACTATGTATTTATTCAATGAGATTGCACTGAAGTTAGACATTTGTCGTCAAGCTCATAGTAATCTGCTGCGTGGCTTAATGTGCACATGAAATGATGATTCACAGTAAGGTGAACTCTTCTTGTCATGTCTCGCTCATTAAATGTGCATTTCTGTGAAGAGCCCCTCCAGCTCCTCAAAGCTTACCAGGCTGATATGTATGTATTATACCGTGACATCAGTCAATTCGATGAAGTTCTAGCCTACCGGGGACCACGCACCAAAACCTGGCCACCCTCAGAGAGGCACGAGGAGCAATGGTCTATAGAAACCAATGAACCCCCCGCGATTCAGTGTCTGAACCGCGGGGGTTCGATGCAGTCCTCAGCTCTTTGGGGCTGGATGTTTCAGGTGACTCGTCTGCTGGATTCTCGGGGTTTGGCTCTCTGGGTGGTTCATATCCATTGAATGCCCAACATCCTGGTGGACGGCCTGTCCCGGTTCATTCCCCTGTCCACGGAATGGACAGTCGACGCCAACTCCTTCAGTTGGCTCTGCTGGACATACGGGCATTTGGCGGTGGACCTCTTCATGTCGGCGTGGTCAAGGCATCTCACAGTATATGTGGCGCCCTTCCCCGACTGCGAGGCCATCAGGGTTGGTCAAGGATTGGTCAAGGTGGGGTTACCTGTACCTTCTTCCCACGGTCCAGCTGTTGCTTTGGGTTCTGGCTCGGTTGGAGACTTACCAGGGTAGAGTAGTCTTGTTGGCACCTTGGTGGCTAGCCCAGCCTTGGTTTCAGGTGCTGCTTGCTTGGTGTCCGAACCCAGGGAGCTTTCCGCAGCTCCACAGTCCAATACGTAGCTGGTTCGATCTTTTCCTCCAATCTTCGCATCTGGTCTTTCTGATGCGGGTTTAATGCCACTTGTATGGTAATCAGGTGGCTTCGTTGGTGGTGTTCCACCTGCGTGTTTCGTCTCGGCAGTAGTATGAAATTTCCTGGCGGACTTTTCATCACTTTTTGTCTCTTCGTAGGTTATCTTCGATTTCTAATTGGGTAGTTTTGTCCTTTCTCTCATGGCTGTTTCAGGATTGTCATCTTATGCTGAATACTGTCGTCTTGTATCGTGCAACGTTGGCAGAGCTGCTTCAGCTTACGTTCAGGGGAGATGTCACTTCTGCTCCGTTCTGCAAGTTTTCTTGTGCTTTGTTTCACCTCTGGCCTGCTCATGCAACGCCTGAGCCATCCTGGTCGTTGGACCGGGTGTTCTCTTTTCTCTCTTTTCTTCAGTTTGTGGTGGCCCCTTCGGTTCAGGATTGTTTTTCTAAGGCTCATTTTCTTGTTGGCCTCTGGGATTGGGTTGGGGATCTTCATTCTCTCCTCCGGCACAGGGGTTTCTGCTCCTTTGGTCCTGGTGGTCAGTTTGTTCGTTTGCAGCCGTCTCCTTCTTTTCTGGCAAAGAATGAGACTGCAGGTTTCCTGATGGGGTCCTTGGGTTGTTGATGCTTGGTTGGTTTGGCCGGTGGTGCACCATGTCTTGTGTCCAGTTACAGCTCGCCATCGTTACTTGCACGCCACTGCCTCGGTGGCTGGGGACGCACTTTGGATAGACCCAGTTTCCCTTCTTCCCTGTTCCAGGGTGCAGGTCTACCAGGTCGTCCGTAGGGTTATTCGGTCCAGCCAGCCTGCGGTCTATCGTCATGCCTACGACGTTCGCAATTTCGCGGCTTTAGCTGCTGTTTTAGGTAACGTATCCTGGGCTGACATTTGGGCATAGGGTTTTAGGTGGTTGAACAGGGTCCTGGCCTGACATTCAGGTACAGGGATTTTGGAGGTTGGACAGGGACCTGGCCACCTTATTAATGTTCCTGGCACTACTCGGGCGTGTCTAGCCTTGGGTCGCAGGTTGCAGCCCGTTCTCAACTTCGAATTGAGGCGCGACCACCTCCTGGGTAAGTCCCTGTTTTTCTTGTCTTTGATTAAGTAGCTCTGGGGAGCTGGAGGAGCTCTCCACAGAAAACCGCGGTTGAGTGTAATGAAACGCCATTTTCTGGGTGAGTCCCGGAGGCTTCCCAGCAAACCCTTCCTCCCACCGGTCGGCAGTTTTTTGCGTTTTTAACATGCAGCTTCTGAACTGGGGTTGGATAGCCGGAGCTGGGGGGGACTGGTGCTCCCCCCTTCCCCCTCCCCCCTTTCCCCTCCCAGGGAGGGATGAACTTCACAGACAGAGCCATGGCGGCGATGGTGATGTCATGCTTGTTTGTATGTTTTTGGTTTGAGAAGTTCTGCTTGCTAGTTCGGCTTTTGGTCGCAATTTTTAACCAGCTGTAGTTTGTTTTAGGATGCCTACCTTTATGGGTGCCTAAACCAGTAGATGGCAGACATAGAATGCTTCCAACCACATGGGGGTTTCTATATGCCATTGCTCCTCGTGCCTCTCTGAGGAGGCCAGGTTCTGGCTTGTGATCCCCCGGTAGGCTAGAACTCCATCGAGTTGACTGATGCCACAGTCTAATACACACATATCAGCCCGATAAGCTCTAGGAAGCCTCCGGAACTCACCCAGAAAATGGTGTTTCATTACATTCAATGCTTTTTTTTATTGTTGGATGTTGCAATGTGCTTATTAGTGCACATGTTATGGTGTATCTGAGCAGCCAAGACCCAGCACTGAACTTGATTTTTCTTTGCTGATTGTTCCTCATTTATTTTACTTAACATTGGGTTATCTTTCCAGATGTATTTATGCATCAAGATTGCTCCATGGTTACTACTCAGGGACTTACTTGCGAGCTTTTTGGTCATCAGAATTCCTGTATTATTTCTATCCTGTCACACTTGTCATGTGGTTATTAGGGAAGGTAAGATATCTAAATCCTATCATTATTATTTTGTTTTTCTGTGGGGAGTACCGTCGGCTCCTTGAAGCTATCGTACTGATCAAGTGCCATACTAATTGAGTGTCATCAGTTGCAGAGTTTAGTGTAAGCCTACTGAGGACCATGAGCCAGAATCTGGCCTCCTCAGAGAGGCAAAGGGAGCAATGGCTCATGAACACTACATTTAGAGTATGTCATCTTGCCATCAACTAGGGAAGGCACCCAGAAAGGTAGGGGAATCAAAACAGACTACTGCCTGGTTGAAAAATGTGACCTACGTCCTCATAAGCACAAAAGAACTCCCCAGAAAACTCCACCCCCCCCTCCCCCTAGGAGTGTGTGTGTTGGCTGGTAGGGCACACTGCGGCTTGCGCAACCTGCTTTTCAGCTATTGACGGCGGGCCGATGTTTCTCTCTGACTGCTTGTTTGCTGTTGTGGAGTTTCGGGGGTTTTATTGTGCTTTTGCTTTTCCTTTTTTTGCCTTTTTTGTTATAGAAGTTCTGCTTTTCACCTGATTAGGCTTTACCTAGGGTGTGGTGGTGGTGGTCCTCCTCAGTTGACCCTGAGGCTTTTCTCCGGCTGCTTGCAGTCAAATTGCCTGCATTGACAGGATTTACCAGCTTAGCTGGCTCCTGTGTTTGGTTCTTTCCTGGCTTGCCAGGTTTGGGTTCTTGGTTTTCTGGCTTACCTTGCCAGTTGGCATTTTCAAGATCTCGCGTTGTCACTTCTCACGAGTCTCGCATCGGAACCACAGTGTCTCCGATCTCCTGGCGAGCTCGCTAGCATATGGAAGTTTTCTGTACGGCAGACGTTTCATCTGGTTCCTTGCCGGCTTGGGTTCCAGCATGGAACATTCATGGATTGCGTGCTCTCTTCTCTTCTCCTTGGTTTCTTGTGGCCCCTTAGGTTCTGGATTGTTTTCCGATGCTCTTTTCTTGTTGCCGTTGTCCTCTGGGGGTCGGGTCAGGGTGCTTCATGCCCTCCTCCGGCCCCTGGGTTCGGCTATTTTGGTTCTTCTGATAGGTTTGTTCGCTTGCAGCTGTCTCCTTCTTTTCTTGGTGAAGACAGGCACGACTGCTTTCCAGAGGGGCCCTTGGGTTGATGCTTGGTTGGTCTGGCCGGGGGTGCATTGTGTGTTGTGTTCGGTTGCGGCACTTCACCGTGCTCGGCGTGCCACAGCTGCCGTGACCAGGGTCATGCTTTGGGTCGTTATGGGTTCCCTTCTTCCCTGTTCTAGTGTGCGGTTCTCTTGAGTTGTCCGCGGGGTGGTTCAATCCTGCCAGCCTGCTGTCTGTCCCCGTGCCCATGTCGTTCATAGGTTGGCTCTGCGTTCCTTCGTTGTTGTTCCTGGGCCTTGTCGGGCCTGTGTGGCCTTGGGTTGGCAGTTGCAGTTTTGTCTCCGCTTCGCGTTGGGGAATGTGCGACTTCCGCCTCTCGGGTTAGGTCCCTCTTGTTTTCGTCTTTGGGTAGGTAGCTCCAGGGAGCCGGTGGGGCTTCCCCCAGAAAACCAGCATTGAATGTAATTAAACGTCATTTTCTGGGCGAGTTCCAGAGGCTCCCCGGCAACCCTCCCTCCTCCCGGTCAGAAGTTTTTGCGTGTTTTTGATATCTAGCCTCAGAACTGGGGTGTGGATGGCTGGCCCGGGGGTCTTGGGCTCTCCCTTCCACCTCCCGGGGAGGGGGGAGCTGCGCAAACGGCGGCGACGTGTGATGTTATACCGTTTGCTCCTTTCTGTTTGGGGAGTTCTATTCACTTGTTCAGCTTTTTGTAGCAATTTTCACCAGAATAGGGATTTGTTTTGGAACGCTTACCTTTCTGGGTGCTTACCCGGTCAATGGCAGACATAGAATGCTTCTAACCACATGGGGTTTCTATAGGCCATTGCTCCTCATGCCTCTGTGAGGGGGGCCAGGTTCTGGCTAGTGGTCCCCGGTAGGCCCACAGAACTCCATACACATGACTGATGCCAAAGTTTGACATTAGCATATCAGCCTGGATAGCTCCGGGGAGCCTCCGGGACTCACCCAGAAAATGGCGTTTCATTACATTCAACGCTGTTTTTTTATTATTATTATTATTATTATTATTATTATTATTATTATTATTATTATTATTATTATTATTATTATTATTATTATTATTATTATTATTATTATTATTATTTTCTACCACAGATGTGACCACACATTTACAATGCTAACTAGTATGTATAAATTTTCCTCTGTCCTTCCTGGACATGTGAGAGATCTGTTAAACATATTGTTCAGGTATTTATTGAACAGTCAACCACAGAAGATGATTGTAGTGCTCTTAACATGCTAATCTAACCTACATACATAAATACATTGATACACAGAATTACGTCTGCCCTGCTTAAAGGGTTTGAAATGTCTGTTATATAGTGTCATTAATGTGCATTCTCAAAGGTGAATGTATGTATGTATACACACATATATACACACACACACACACACACACACACACACACACACACACACACACACACACACACACATACAGTGGCACCTCGATTAACAAGCTGCTCTATCTACGAGCATTTCGAGTAACGAGCGAGCCACTCGCAGCAAATTTGTCTCTATTGACGAGCTTTACATCTATTAACGAGCAAAGCGCACATGGTGCTTCCTAGCATCTCGCGGGTTCTCGCAAATTCTCGGACGCCTCCGATGCCAGTGTTGTTGTTGTTGTAAAGAAGCTGCCTGCTAAAGACAGTGTTGGGAAGGGGAAGAAAGCGACAATCGCCATGGAAAGTGAAGAAGGAAATCATAGCAAAGCACGAGCGTGGTGTCCGTGTGACTGATCTCGTCAGGGAGTATGGCAGGTCCTCATACCTGTCCTTTATGGGTATGATGGGAGCATGGCAGGTCCTTTAAGATGCTTGAGGTGGCTAAAGGAGTTACCAAGGTTACCAAGAAACATCCAAAAATCCTAGAAGAGGTTGAAAAGCTACTGCTGGTCTGGATGAATGAAAGGCAATTACATGGCGATAGTGTCTCTGAAGCTCTTGTTTGTGCTAAGGCCAAGAAGTTGTATGTGGACCTTGTCAGGAAGACACCAGGTGTGTCGTCTGAAGAGGAGGAGATATTTAAGGCAAGCCATGGATGGTTTGAGAAATTTAGGAAGTGAAGTGGTATCCACAGTGTTGTGCGACATGGGGAGGCTGACAGCTCTGATAAAGCTGCTGCCGAGAAATTTGTACCAGAGTTCCAGGAATTTGTTGCTAGAGAGGAGTTCTTGCCCCAACAAGTTTTTAATTGTGACAAAACTGGCCTTTTTTGGAAGAAAATGACGGAGGACCTACGTCACACAGGAGGAACAATCTTTGCCTGGCCACAAACCGTTGAAGGATCGGCTTACTCTCGTGCTCTGCGCCAATGCAAGTGGCGATTGCAAAGTCAAGCCGCTGCTAGTCTACCACTCAGAAAATCCACGCGTATTCAAGGCATTTAACCACCGTGCTGCTCGGAGTTTATTGAGAAATTCCCCCGGTGTGCATGAAATGAAGTGTTCCCAAAAAATTCATTTTCTTCGTAAAATGATAAATTCCCTTCCCTGAACATGTCTATGTAAAAATAAGTACCAAATTCCACTTACTTTGGCTGTAGGGACGTGGACAAGATGCGCTGTGAAGTCATCAGGGCCTGGTCGCCCGTGTGCGTGACTCGCCCAGACATGGTCGCTCGGGCCATTCAAGCACCGGGTGTTGCCACAAATATATTTTCAATTATTTGTTTTATGTATTTCCAATGCTGTTTTATTTGTTTTTTTATTGTATATGATGCATATTTGTGTCCTTTACAATATGTATACAGTAGAACGTTCATAATGTTCCATGGAACTGTGATACATGTGTCAGTAATGTGTCCACAATAAATGTTTATTGTCGCAATATTACCTGTTAAAAATTCCCAAAAATTACAATACGTACAGTTTCACACACTATTTACACAGTAACACACTGTATTACACACTCAGGACTTTGGAAGTGAGTAATAATCAACGAAGTAGCCCATGGTACACAGCGCGACTTCGCTCTCAGTGCACCAGGTACAGATAAATTTTCGCTTTCTGTTTCTTCATTCTGTGTGCTTGCAAATAATGCACTCACGTACACCCTTGGCTTTAGAACTTGTAGGTTGTATGTAACCAAGCTTGTAAAGCATAAGGTAGTATTGAAAAGATTATAGGAAAAGATCAATTTGTAAGGTAGTCTTGAAAAGATCGCTTTGTATGGTCCCTCACAGGAAGAGATTCAGCTAGCCTCAAGAGTGTAATTACCTAAGTGTAGTTACAGGATGAGAGCTATGCTCGTGGTGTTCCATCTTCCCAGCACTCTTTGTCATATAACGCTTTGAAACTACTGACGGTCTTGGCCTCCACCACCTTCTCCCCTAACTTGTTCCAACCGTCTACCACTCTGTTTGCGAAAGTGAATTTTCTTATATTTCTTCGGCATCTGTGTTTAGCTAGTTTATATCTATGACCTTTTTCTTAATGTTCCAGGTCTCAAGAAATCTTCCCTATCGATTTTATCAATTCCTGTTACTATTTTGTATGTAGTGATCATATCACCTCTTTTTCTTCTGTCTTCTAGTTTTGGCATATTTAATGCCTCTAACCTCTCCTCGTAGCTCTTGCCCTTCAGTTCTGGGAGCCACTTAGTGGCATGTCTTTGCGCCTTTTCCAGTTTGTTGATGTGCTTCTTAAGATATGGGCACCACACAACTGCTGCATATTCTAGCTTTGGCCTAACAAAAGTCGTGAACAATTTCTTTAGTATAACGCCATCCATGTATTTAAAAGCAATTCTGAAGTTAGAAAGCGTGGCATAGGCTCCTCGCACAATATTCTTTATGTGGTCCTCAGGTGATAGTTTTCTATCTAGAACCACGCCTAGATCTCTTTCTTTATCAGAATTCTTTAAAGATTTCTCACATAATATATAGGTTGTGTGGGGTC